GTAAGGGATGTGTTGGTGCCGATTTCTCCTCTTTCGACTCCTTCGACTAGGGTGGTAGTTGCTAATTTGCCTCTGTTTATTACGGATGATCAAATCAGGAAAGAGCTGAGTCGTTTGGGTAAGTTTGCTAGAGGTTTCCGTGTACTGTCAGCAGGTTTTCAGGCAGATGCCGTTAAGCATGTTGTTTCGTTCCGGAGGCAAGTGTTTATGTTTCTGAATAACAATGAGCAACAGTTAAATGTGCATTTTAAAGTGAGGCATGTGGAGTGGCTCTACGCGGGGTTTGCCAGCACAGATAGTCTACGATGCTTTGAGTGTGGGGACTTGGAGCATAAGATCTTTGTGTGCCCACATAAAGGCCGTAGACAAGGTGAGGGTACAAGCGCCAGTGGGGGATATTGAGGTCAATGTGCAGGGGGCCATTAGACGCAGGCAGCAGGGGCTGGGTCTAGTCATGCTATGGATGGTGGTGTAGCTGAAACTGGGTCTAGTCATGTCATGGATGGTGGTGTATATATATATATTATTATTTTCACCTTTATTTAACCAGGTAAACCAGTTGAGAACAAGTTCTCATTTACAACTGCTACCTGGCAGATGAGGCTGGGCCTAGTCAGGTTATGCTAGTGGATGAGGAGAGTATAGTGGGGAAGGGTAAGCAACTAGCGGGGTGGAGGAGAGTGTCAGGCGGAAGAGGAAAAAGGGGGAGAAGAAAGGAGGTGGGATGGGAGAAGCTGGTGTGGTCAAAGGCACCAAGGAACTGGGAGGGAGGCCCCGACTAGAGAGAAAGGGCAGGTGGTCAGGATGGGAGATGGAGTTGAGGAGGAGGAAAGTGAGTCTGAGGAAGAGGACGATGAGAAGGCTTCCTCAATGGTTCCAGAGCTGACAGACAGTCAGGCAGAGGGGTCAAAGTACACAGTGAGGGAACTGTCAAGGTTACTGAATGAGACTAAAAGGACAAAGGTTAATCTTGAAGCTTTTTTTTGCAATCCAGAAAAGTTTGTACGATCAGTACAACCCGCTATGGAAAATGAGGGGCATGGTGTCCTCTCACCCAGGAAATGTTTTAGGTTGAGGAAGTGGTTCACATCCGTGTGTAAGGGTCTACCTTAAGATGCTGTTTAGATTAATAGTTTTTTTCTGTCACTTGGGCTTTTTGAGCTTTGCTATTGGTCTCTTTCTTTGCTGGCTTTTCTCCCACTTCTTATGGAGACTCTTCGGGTAGGCTTGCTTAATATAAATGGCGCCAGAGATGCAGGAAAAAAAAGTATGTTGGGTGAATATGTAAAACATAAAAAAGTACAGGTGTTGTTTCTGCAGGAGACGCATAGTGATGTGGTGAATGAAGTCGATTGGGGGCTCTGGTGGAAAGGGGCAAGTGTGCTGAGCCATGGAACAAATGTTAGTGCAGGGGTGGCAGTCTTTTTTGCACCGGGTCTGGCCGTAAAAATGTGCTCTTCAAAGGAGGTGTGTAGGGGTAGACTTCTTGTAGTGAAAGCAGAAATTAACAATAGGGGTTTTGTCCTTATACATGTGTATGCGCCTAACACAGGGAGAGAGAGGGGGCGTTTGTTTGGGTGTCTTAGACAGGAACTCTCACAGGTAGCTCCTGACGAGACACTGGTGGTCAGCAGGGACTGGAACTGTACGATGGATTTTACGAAAAACAGAAATGGGGAGGAGCCTCATTCAGGCTCAGTTGGGGTGTTAAGGGACATCATTAATCAGTTTGACCTAGTGGATGTTTGGAGAACTAGACATTCCAACACAAGACACTATACATGGGTGAAGGTCTTTGGGGTTAGGGTGAGTGCAGCACGACTAAATCGGTTTTACATGTCCAGGAATCAGAGCAATAGGCTGTTGGGTGCTACCATTCTCCCGGTGGGTTTTTCGGATCACCACATGACCATGGCTCGGCTGTCTATTTCACTAGGGCCTCGGCAGGCATCCCTTTGAAAGTTGAATGTAAAGCTCTTACAAGAGATAGCAGATAGCATTACTGGGTGATCTGAAAAGTCATAGTCAATCGATCAATAATATAATCATACTTTTAGCAAAAAATAATATTTTCAATTCACAATCTGTAGAAACAATGTGAATAGAAAGGTTCAGAACTTTTGTAAGACATCACAGTACAGTTGAAATATATATGGCAAATAGAAATCCTATATGGATGGTGTTAAGATATAGATGGGAGGTGTTGCATGGAATTGAAGGATGGGACTAATAACAACTAACAACAAATAATAACAAGATAACTAATAATGTAAGCATACTGTGTCCATAATAAGTACATAGGTTGTATGTTGGGAGCTTTTGGGAAAGAGCACAGTTAGAAAGATATGGCATATAGAAGCAAACCGGATGGACATCATGAAAATGATCGGAGAGGTTGATAGTAGAAGAAGTTCAGGAGAAAAAACAAACAAAATATAATTATTGTAAAATTGACTGTGTCCATAAAATGTAGATAGTAAGTATAAGCTGGAAGTAGAGGCCTAAGCATTGTTGTTCACTAGTTTACTCCAAGTAAGTAATAAAGGGGAATATATTTTTTTAAGGATATGTATGTGTATGTATGTATGTGTGTATGTATGTATGTATGTATGTATGTGTGTATGTATGTGTGTGTGTATGTGTGTATATGTGTATATATGTATATATATGTATATGTATATGTATATGTATGTGTATGTGTATGTATATATATATAAAAACATGGGGGATTGGAAGTGATGCAGACAATTACATTGATGGAAGTTCCAATCTATCTGCAATATTAAGCTCATCTACCCCAAAAAATAAATAAAAATAAAAATAAAATCTCTTACAAGATGCCACTTTTTGCTCAGGTTTCCAGACTTTTTGGGAAAGGTGGGGGCAGCGAAGAGAGGTGTATGAGTCTCTAAGTCAATGGTGGGATGTGGGAAAAGTCAAAATTTGGCTTTTCTGTCAACAGTATACAGCTCTCTCATCCTCAGAGGCTAGGAGAGTATTGGGAGAACTTAAGCATAGTATCAGTGAATTGAATGTAGAGCTGGTGGGGCAAGGCAATGTAGGTTGATTGCATAAACAGATCTGGGACCATAATACATCAATTCGGTTCAGCCACCAGCAAGGCCTCTCATCTCCTCCAAGTGTGTGGTTTTGGTTTAGTTCCCTGGGGTGCACAGTACAAATGACTGACCTCTGAGCAGGATTGACCTTTTTTATGTACTACATTCAAACAGTCTGGGCATTTTTCTCATTTTAGCTGTTGCACTGCCTGACCTCTGAATGCTTAAATAATGTCCTCTTTCCAGTAAAAGTGTTTGTTGTGTGCACTGGATTTTGTACCCCATAATTAAATGTTGGCTCATTGCTTTCACCCTTTGAAAGTAGATGTAGCTTGCCATAATGGTGGTATTGTGCAGATGAATGTTACCATTCAACTGATTTGGGTGATGTTCCAAACAGTGAAAGCAATTATGTGAAGCAAGAAACATACAGGATGTATGTATTACGTTAGTTGGCGAAGGTATTGAAGCACAGATATATCTGGGCTGTGTCTCAAATGGCACCCTATTCATTACATAGTGCACTACTTTTGAGCATTGACCCTTGTCAAAAGCAGTGCACTATATAGGGAGTAGGGTGCCATTTGGGACGTAGCCATAGATCAGGTCATGTCTCACAAAGATAAATAACAGACAGTTTTCCTAAACTAATCCAATCTGTTGGATTTATTGCAACCGTTACTGAGATGATTGTTCCAGTTTAGATGATTGCATTAGTCTCAGTATTCAATCATTCTGAATGTAAATTGCGGGTGATTAAAAATTCCACTTGTTGGATATCCTAACTCTGGTGGGATTCCAATAAGAATTACACATCACTTTGCAAGCCAGCATAATGTGATTTGCAGGCCTGATGTGGCCTGTAAACCTGGATATTGCTAACACCACTGTGTTAGGGCATAACTAGGCCCTCAAAGAAAGGCCTTATGATATATGTATTGTTATAAATAATACATTTTTTAAGGCTAATAAGGCTGGTGAACCGTTCATAGAGGGTCCTAAGATAAAAAAGTTATTAGTAGAACCCTTCATAGACGGTTCTAGGAAGAACCTTTAGGTGATAAAATGGTTCTTGGTAGAACCGTTCGTAGATGGTTCTAGGCAAAACCCTTCATAGAGGGTTCTAGGTAGAACCATATACAGGGGGTTCTTTGAAGAACCCTACATAGAGGGTTCTAGATAGATGTCACGCCCTGGCTCTGGGGACTCTTAAATGTTGAGCCAGGGTGTAGATTTTCATTGTTTAGTTTTCTATGTTTTTGTTCTAGATCGTGTTGATCTATGTTGGCCAGGGTGGTTCCCAATCAGAGACAGCTGTAGCTCGTTGTCTCTGATTGGGGACCATACTTAGGCAGCCTGTTGGCACCAGTTAGTTTGTGGGATCTTGATCCGTAAAGGTTTGGTGTGTGTAACCACAGGACTTCACGTATCGTTCGTTTTGTTGTTTTGTTCGTATGTTGTGTACTAAATAAAATGTACGCTTATCACGCTGCGCCTTGGTTCCACGAGTCATCAGTCAACGTGCGTGACAATAGAACCCTCTACAAAGGGTTCTACCCAGCACCAAAAAGGGTTCCCCTATGGAGACAATCCGAAGAACCCTGTATGGTTCTACTTAGCACCTTTTTTTGTAGGAGTGCATCCCTACACATGTAAATATGATATTGGCACTGACCCTGGAACTGACCCTGTATATAGCTTGCTTAATTTCTCGTGTTCTTCTTATTTATATTTCTTGGATGTTTTTGTTCTACCTAACTTTATTTTATAGTACTACTTATATTGATTACTGCACTGTTTGGAAAGAACTTGTAAGAAAGGCATTTAACTGTACTTGTGCATGTGATAATAAAACTTGAAACTTGCAGGCCCCCTCTCATGACCACTTCCTGTGTGCCCCCTCAGAGCCAGGGGCCGGCTGTACCCCTTCATCCGCCAGAAGGTTTAGATGAGGACTGCTACGAGGAGGCTGAGCCCTTTGTTTCAGTCAATCACACCACAGGTATGCTCAACAAGTCATTAAATACATCAGTCTCACTCTCCCTCTCTCTCTCCCCTGTCTCTCTTTCTCTCTCTCTGTCAAGAGCCATTGCCAACAACTTGAGTTACTTTCACAATGGGATACATGTGACTTTGTGCTGTTTCTACAGTCAAATAATGTACTTGAAATATAGCTCAAATATAAACGAAATGTCATCCTCAAACCTTTGAACTTCCACAGTTGTATACTATGTATTTTACTAAAAAAGTAAAAACCCAGCATGTCTCTCTTTTTACAGTGGTATCAAAAAAATAAAATACAGAAATGCATCCCCTGTGTGTATGTGTGTGTGTGTCTGTTTGTGTGTGTGTGTTCATGCGTGTGTGTCCTCCAGACAAAGGTGACTCAGACAGCAGTCACTACGAGTCATACGGGGAGGAAGATGAGGAGGAGTTTGTGAAAGACCGGGCCCACTACATCCAATGGAGTGCCACCCAGCCCTGTCTGCGGCCCACTCCTGAGTCACGCATCTGTGGCTACCTGTGGAGGAAGAAATGGCTGGGCCAATGGACCAAACAGCTCTTTCTCGTCCGCAACAATCTGCTCTTGGTAAGCACATCCCTAAGGACAAAATACATGGTGCAATCACCTGCTGGGTGTCGACGAATGTGTTTCGAACATGTTTCATCCAGGTAGGCTGTAGCTGTTTTAAAGGCATTAACCTCTAAGTAGGCCATAAATTGTTTGTCTTATTTGCCTGTTGCATGTTACTTCCAGTTCTACAAATGTTAGACAAAGTCTTACTGGCAAGAGCAGTGTGTGGGTTCTCCCTTTCTTTTAAGAAAACATGATTCCCATGCACCTGCAACAAGCATACTCAGATGTGATTTTCCTATTTTGAATAACAGTGCTACAAATGTGCCAAGGACCTCTACCCGCTGCTGGAGCTGAACCTGCGGGGCTGCCAAGTGGTGTACAAGTCCAAGCACAACAAGAAGATGCAGCACGAGCTTAAGGTGGTGGCTGGCTCCGACATGGTGGTGATGGGCTTCCAGAGCTGCCAGCAGGTGGAGGAATGGAGGAAGGTTTGGAGGTGTTTATCATTACAGAAAGACAACAAAATATTTAAAAAAGACAGAAATGTACTGTTTGATACAGAAATCAACTGAAGGGGAGCAAAGGGAGGGGTAAGAGGACATGCCTTTTTGGATGGGTATTGCCCATGATTGTCCAAACAGGCATGCCTAGCCCATCTGAAATAAATGGCGGTATTATCAGGTTATTATCAGACTGGGAGAATTTGACAGTTACGGCCGTATTTGGAACTCGGGAGATAAAGGGTATGGCTGTGTAGGCATTAAGGGGCGGATTCCTGGACACAGATTAAGCCTGGTCCTGGACAAAAAAGCAAGATCAATTAAGAATTTCCATAGAAAATTCTGCCCCTAAAGCTTTTGTGTGTGTGTTGTTTTAAATTCTTACTTGTTGTCTGGCTGGTCCCTAGATCATTGAGGAGGTGAGTAGCTCCTCCTACTATGAGCCAGAGTCCCAGAGTTCCTCCTCGTTAGTCAAGTGTGACAGACTGGACTCTTGCAGGGTAAGTAATCTGCCGCCACAAGAATTAAAGCTACTCCGGACCTTAGTTCACATTCAATTAACTTCCTCTCGACTTGACTGAATTAGGTGGCTCAGATTTTCTCTCAATGCAGCCCTTTCATGTGTTGTTTTCCTCACAGTCAAGCACAGTCATTCACACTTCAGACTCTGATGTAGAGAAACTGTCCACGCTGTCCTCTGCTCTCAGCAGTGGGGAAATTAAGGATAAAGGTAAGCACAGGCAATAATGCCGTCCCTCTCAGCCTATCCCCCCGTTTGTCAACATAAACAAATGCCTCTGGTCCGTACAGGACTGGAGCACCCTCTGTTTCAGAAGCTATATATAGCTCCATCTTAAGTTGCTCCGTAGGGACTGATTGCATCACTGAGAACTCTGTGAAGACAGTGTGGTATTGTTTGCCTCGTTTGGTAGTTACTAGAGGTCTACCTTTAAGTCATAACAGGCACGTTGTTGGTGGAACACTGGCTCATTGTGAATGGGAGATTCCTGGGGAATTGATTTGGCACCTTTGGCAGAATTAGAGTCTGGAGGTGAGCCCAACAGGTTAGCAACCCCTCTGAACCCTGTTGGCCAACATAACCAGGAGGAGAGAGATACACATTTGGTGGTTTTAGGCTGTGTCCAAAGTAGCATACGTTTGACCAGGCCCCATAGGGCTATACTGTATATATAGGGAACAGGGTACCATTTCAGATGCAGCCATATACCCTGCCCAGCTTGTTTGTAGCCCTGATTGTGTAATTAGCTAACTGGGAATAAAAAATGTGATGCTACCTCTTCATGGTGACTTCTTTTCAATGTCCATTGATCTGGGTGTGAACTTCATGACTAGAGAAATTATAATGGCTAACGATGTCCACAAACTGTAAGATACTGTCATCATCTTTGTGCAACAGAGACCAGGTACAAATTGCCCACATATTTTCTTTCTATTGTCAATGTATTCTTTGTCCGGCCTCTGTCTGGTAGCCTGGTCTTAGATCTGTTTGTGCTGTCTTGCCAACTCCTGACCATAAGAGTTGGAAAGACAGTCATTACTAGGGCAGTGGCGGTCATGACATTTTGTCAGCCGGTGATTGTCAAGCAAATGCTCATATCGGTCTTATGTAGCAAAATTTGAAATTGTGTTTTTTACATTGGATAAAAGTAGAGACTCAGAGCTACAAAATGGTATATCATACACTGCATTTGAGGAACAATAGGAAAGTAATTTAGCTTTGAAAGTTGATAAACTTGTAAACTCACTTTTGAGAAAATGGCCTTTCAATCTTTTGGTACTACTATTGGAGAGCCCTTCTTTGTCTACACCCATTCAGCATCGTTCAAACCCTCTTAAGCTTTATCCCCACCCATCTCTTTAAGTGTTGATCCGAGAGTTCTGTACTAACTTGCTAGCTACTTCCAGACATCTAAGTAAGAGAGAACAGCTCACTGATCATTACTCGCCCTAGCAGAGCTGGTTAGGCTGTTATGTTATCCAGAGCGTTGGTGACTGCAACTGTGCTGTCAGATTGTCTGTTCGTAAATTCAGAGCGTTTCGCATTCAGAGTGCACACTGGACGCTCTGGCCAATGAGTAGGGTTGATCCAAACGTTCTGACCACACAACAACAGTCAAGCACCCAAGCTAACTGGCTAACATTGGCTAGTTTGCTAGCTACTTCCAGACAAATAGTTAGAGAACACCCCACTCTGACCATTTTACTTGCCCTAGCAGAGCTAGTTAGGCTGTTTTCATGTTATGCAGAACGTTGGCGACTGTAACTGTACTGCTGGCAACAATTTAATTACGCTTTTTTACCTACGTTTATTGACACCGGCCATGTTCAACGGGTGTTGAATGTTCGTAAATTCATCAGTTATTCTGCACTCTGGCACACTAACCAGTGGCGGCTCCTGAAAAAATTCTCAGGGGGGGCAATTTTTCTGATGATTTAGGTGACCTACACACATTTTAAAAAAGATATGTCCAGCAACAACATGAAGACAGGGGCAGCATATAAGTCAATACCAGAAGCATTTATTGACTGATCTCAAAAGTGTTGGCTTACCAGGGTTGGTGGAGCCCTCAGTTTCATCTTTGCCTCGCAAAGCTAACTCAAACACTCCGCAAAACTTCACACACTGGATTAGCCGGCTGAGGATGTGGCGGTTCTTGCTAATGTCGTAGTAAATATATTTGTTATAGTGAATATGGAATATGATATGTTGAGTAAAATGTTGTGCTAAGATCTATTTAGGTCAGGAGCTGGTTATAAGTTCTGTTCCTATCCAATAACAATGGACAAAAGGGTCCTATCTTGTCAGCCTTGTCAGCAGGTGGCCAAGGACAACACCCACGCCATAGGCCTCTCAGTTCTTCCAACTCACGAGTTCTTGCTCTGAGGACACACACACACACACAAACACACACACACACACATCATCACTGTTAAACACACACACACACACACACACATCATCACTGTTAAACACACACACACACACACACACACACAAAAATCCCCTCTCTTAGGCTGAACATTTGAAGACAGAGAACCCGACTCAGAGCCAATGCAACAGTGACAGTAGCCTGGAGGGGACCTCGCCCAACTCATCAGGACCAATCAGAAGATCAGAACTACTAGATTCAACCTACTTCATTTATTGCATAAAATGTCTGCACACAATGTTTCGGGGCTCTCTTCAGATAATAATAATAATAATAATAATATGCCATTTAGCAGACGCTTTTATCCAAAGCGACTTACAGTCATGCGTGCATACATTTTTGTGTATGGGTGGTCCCGGGGATCGAACCCACTACCTTGGCGTTACAAGCGCCGTGCTCTACCAGCTGAGCTACAGAAAGTGGATACTCATGGATGCGCATCGCAATTGTAAAATGTCAACACAATTGGAGACACCACGTCATTTTTGGAGACATGTTATTGACAGTAAACTATTGTAGATGCGACTGCTAACTAAATAAAACATTTTAGCTGGCTAGCTAATCATCTTAGCTAAATGTGGGGCAAACAATTCAGTTATTTACCGTTAATTCGAGGGATTGGGGTGAAAGAAATCGAGTTACATAGTGATACTTTACGATATACTGTATTGACAATATCGCAATATTTTAGCGCTAGTTGGCTGTACCTGCACCAAAACACCATTATTGTTCCTTCATAGCTTGTTCTCAATCTTTTCACATTGGGAGCCAATTTGTTTTCAGCACTTTTATTTCCATGACTGATCAAAACTCGTTCTCATGGCTTTCTGATCCCTCTGCAACAGACATATGGTGCGCAATAAAATCACAGTATCGAATCGCAATACGTATAGAATCATGAGACTCGCAATGCATATATCTTATCGTGAGGTTCCTGGCAATTCCCAGCCCAAGTTCATTTGCCACAACAAATCTCTTCGCTAGCAAACGCGATGTCTTCTCCAAAACGGCAATGTGTCTCCAGCAATGTTTACTTTTTTGACGTTCTATGGCATCTCCACTTTCCAAGCATATATGACCACATGTAATATTTTGGTAAGTGATGCAAATAGTGAACTATGTAGGGCCAGGATGTAAAATATATGTAGCTCCCTAAGAGTTTGACGAACGGGTCCGTGCACGCGATTCCAGATATCTTTACCTCTGAATAAACTGCCTTTATTATACCATATCCACCCTGTCCAAAGTCTCTACTTGGTCTCAGTTCTCCAGTAAACTTGTGATTATCAACACTAACCTCATCGTTGTGGCGGCGGACAGCTAGCCTGTATCCCTCATCCAGTTGAGTGGCAATGTTATTTTTTCGTTCGTACCAATTTTTGGAAAATCCTCGGGTGTAGGACTTTCCGCCTTTAGTAGAAACCTGTTGAATTATTACATTTGGTCTGGGAGGTCCTAATTGTTTCGTTGCCAATTTATCTTCATTTGTTCGCCGACAAAAAGGAACTTCTTTCAAAGACACAATCGACCGCTATTTTCTTAGTTACGTTCATGGTTACGTTACGTATGACGAAAGCGCGTAAGTGCAAGCCCTCAGACACCCATAGAGATTGTATTGAAAGCTCTGAAATTTGAAAAAAATAGATTTTACATGGGAGTCTATGACAGACTTCTGGGCGATTTTCAACCTGACTGAAATCGCCCCAAAAGGGGGGGGAGCCATTTGAAGCACGACTTTAGCCTGATTGGACATTTAGTGGCAGTGTGGCACTGTGGCAGATCAGAGTCTAGATTACAACACTGATAACTACTGTTGCCGTGATATAATTGATTAGAAAAAATTCCCTTCCTTTTCCCGTTTGGCAGTGCGTCGCCCATATCGCCCTATTGAACAGACCGCCCCTGACACTAACACAAGAGTATTTTGTTAAGACATGTACAATGAACCATAATCTCAAAGCATTACGTTACTACCCTGCATGAATCTACAGGTAGCTAACCAACCAGGTTCAATATTAGCTGGCTAACATTAGGCTATAAATAGTGGCTCTGAGATACAAATTATAAGATCATACACGTAACGTTAGTTAGCGAGCCAGCCAGCTAACGTTAGCTAGCTAATAGTACACTTTAACTTGAAATGAAACAACTTTCTGTCAAAATTAGAAATGTGTAATATCTGAAAATGTAGCTAGCTAGACTATCTTACCCATATACATCATGGTTGGACGCGTCTCCTGTCGGATGCCATGGTTGCCCTTAGTTTGAAGATGTAATCCGGACAGGTGTTTTCTCCATCTCCTTAGCTATCATACTCGAATTCCACTGATTTCAAAACTCGGTCCTCCAGAAAGTGGAGAGCATACACATAACGTTAGCTAGCGAGCCATCCAGCTAATGTTAGCTAGCTCATTTACATTTATGTCATTTAGCAGACGCTCTTATCCAGAGCGACTTACAAATTGGTGCATTCACCTTATAGCCAGTGGGATAACCACTTTACAATATGTATAATTTTTTTTGATGGGGTAAGGGGGGGTAGAAGGATTACTTTATCCTATCCCAGTTATTCCTTAAAGAGGTGGGGTTTCAAGTGTCTCCGGAAGGTGGTGAGTGACTCCGCTGTCCTAGCGTCGTGAGGGAGCTTGTTCCACCATTGGGGTGCCAGAGCAGCAAACAGTTTTGACTGGGCTGAGCGGGAACTGTGCTTCCGCAGAGATAGGGGGGCCAGCAGGCCAGATGTGGATGAACGCAATGTCCTCGTTTGGGTGTAGTGAC